GAAAACCCTGAGTCAGTGTTCAACTTTCACATGTATATGAAGCGATTGAAAATGCCATGGCTTGGGTCAGGTGCACCTTAGTCCTCAAAGTGACCAGATTTAAGTCTTTTCTCCCCACAACAACTTGACTGCTTCGCACAGGATCCCACCATGGAGTTGACCACACATAATATCATGAGAGACTCCTGGTCTACCCGAGTTGACCTAGAACCTATTGCAGCTTCCTTCTAAGGATCATATCATTATCTTCTTAAGGAACTCCACATCTTTCCTTTTTTGACAATACTCATGCTCTGATGAATTCGTGTGGGTTTTAGCTTTTGTCTGTCACTTTCACTAAAATTGGAGCTCCATGAGTGGATGAGATAAATCTGGTTTCCTCATGCAGGTTCCCAGAGCAGCCCAGGGCTGGGACAGGGTCAGGATTACAGAAGTGTCTACAGAATGGAGGCAGAATATGTTGGGAGGAACTGTGAGATGACAGGAGGCGGGGCTTCAAGAAAAGGCAGTGTAGGTTCTGGGTCAGGGTCAGGGTCGGGGCCTGATCCTCATTGGGCTTCCATGTGGAGTTCTGCATGTTCTGTGTCTGAGCAGGATTGGTTCCCACAGGCCCTAGAGGTAGGTGGTCTCAGGCAGGCTCAGGGGAGGAGGGCCAAAGCCACACTGAGCACTGGTGGGGGTGGAAGGTGCCACCACCTAGGCCAGGGCTTGGCCTAAGTTCTCTCTCTGAGAGGGTGTGCTGACTAGCTAGTCCCTGTGCCCACATTATTAACTCCATTGGAACTGGTTTGGTGGGTTTTTGTTTTTGTTTTTTTAATTTTTGGTTTCCAAGAAATGAATGACCAATACTTTGGATCCTTTTTTAATACACCACGCATAATGTATCAAAACTGAATTAGACACTGACAATAGATAATCTGCCTAGTCCTACATTTGATAGAGTACAAGTATCAATAAAATCATGCCTCCAAAGAAATTCATGGTTTTGTTTCATTCAATATTAATAACAACTACTTTCAATCCATGAGGAATTGATTTTTATTGTTGGTTTGAATAGATGTCATGGTAGATTTTCACAAATGGATATCCAAATGACCTAGCAACATTTATGACAAACACTCTCTCTTCCTGAAATACTCCATGGTACCACCACATACCAAATCTCATGGTATTGGAGACTCAAGAATCAAAATTCAATCCATTGCTCAGTAGTCACCTCCAATTAAACCAACCATACACTATGGTTTTCCAGATGGCAACTGGACCACAGCAACTGGTTTGCCTGCAGATGCTCTGAATGATACCAAGCCCTAATGAACCTGGATATTTCTGATTAATCCCAAAGCTTGCAAGATACATTCAGGCATCTCACGATGGAAGAATGACATTTACTCTTAGCTTGCTCTCTCTGAAGAACCTGAAAACATCACCTAAGACCCATCCAATAGTTTATTATATTCAGGAGAACGATAAAAGCTTGGCAAAACTCAAGCAATAAGCACATGGGAGGTACTTTTATGGGATGGTCAGAAGGCTTCACAGCAGAGAACAGATCATATGGCATCAATTCCAAAAACATTGCATGGTAGGACATGGAAGGGAAACAGATACAGGAAGAGGCGATAGACAAACGGTCCAATATATGTTGGGTTACAGGGTCAGGATCACCACCACCTTTGGGGAAGGTGGTGAAGAAGGGAAACGTGCTGAAGAAGGGTTATCTTCACTGGGGTGAAAAAACGGGAGTGTTGGTGAATTTGCAAAGCTATGAAAGCAGAAATCTCTTCATTGGTCTTCTTTCCAAGACAAGCCTTAACCTGTAGCAGGACACACAGTTATGAAAGAGTTTTAAATGGATATTTTTCAGCTCTTTCTTTCAAAGTCCCACCCCTTCTCCCTTAATCTTTTGACTTTGGAGAATGACTATTCTCTAACCTCTGATGTGCATAACTCTGCCCACAGGAACATCTATTGCCCATTCTCCAAACAAGAGTGACTGAACAGGCCACATTTTACCATCCAACACCATTTTACCATTTTAGTGCCTCCAACAGCTCCTCCTCGATTGAAGAAGCTAAAACAGCCATTGGACTCCCTGGCATTTGCTTTGTGAAATGAGAGTATGCTGACGTCAAAGGAGCCGTCTTTGGAAATACTACCAACCAGACAGCCTGTGTTAGGACACCTAAGCCAGGAAGTCTCCGAGTCTTGCAGCTGACTTTCCTAGATAACTGGATCTTGTATTTTAATGTGAAACAACGGTGTTCAGCACTAGAGATCATTTCCAAGATTTAATTTATGGTCTAGGTGCACATTATGTAAAGGGATGAGGATTTACAGAGATCGGTTTTCCATTCAACAATTCATACACATTTCGTTTCATGTTATGACTGCAATCTCCACGATGTAACATCACCTATCCTATATCTTTTCTGTATTTCCTGTTTCGATTCCTCTTCTTTTCCTAAACCTTTTGAACTTTGTCTTTGGGTAAATGTTGCCTTTTGATCTGAAATGGCTGATTATTCTAAGGTGTGCATACCTCCCTAGACTTACTGTCCCTCTCAAAGACCTCGCTCTTACTTGGCTGAAACTTGAACCCTGGGGGTGGGGGCGGGAGATGGAGGGTGAGCTCATTTCCAGATGTGAAGAGTGACTAGTGGCTCTCAGGGGTTCCACCAGCCTCCCTCCACCCAGCGAGCCTGGTCATTTTTATGATTTTAATGTTTGTTCCACATTTTTCTCCTACTGTATCCAGGCCCCTCTAATAGGATCTCTCTCTGAGCAGTTGATGGTGGTCGTCAGACCCCATCCAGTTCATCTGGCCCGAGTCCTGTAGACTGATGTTCACGTGGTCTATTAGTCTACTGGGCTAAATAGTTCTAGAGCCTTCAATTTTCTTCAGTCTTTTTGCCTCTGTTTCAGGAGAAACCAACTGTTGCATCTTAAATGACTGCTCAAAGCCTTTATGACCTCAGCTGCTTCTCACCAAAGTAGGATGCAGAACATTGTCTTTGTTCACTATGCCATCTGACCTTGGTGTCCCTCTGAGACCCTGTTCTTGAGCCCCCAGGCTCAGCAACTCATTCTCTTAAGTTGTTTGGTTATGTCTAAGATATTATTTTTCCATCTGTATGCTTCACCACATTCATGACTATATTTTCTCAAAGGTAAGTTCACAGATACAAATATCATCTGCTGAACCTATTCATGGGTATCCTCCCCCTCTCCCTCCCATTGGACTCTGTCCGTTTTCCCTAAAGGCATCATATGTTCTTTTCCCCACTGTTTCCCCCTCACCCGGAGAACTCCATATACTTCTTCCTAGCACCATACAAACCCACCTCCAGGTGCTTCACAGAGGCCCACGAGGGCGTTCAACAGCATTGCCTTTGCGGACACCCTTGATGATGAAGATGGTACCAACAATGATGCCCACCAGACCCACGACCAGGCCTAGAATGCACACCACGTTTTCTGTTGTCTCTGGGAAAGGGGTTGGCACTTCAAACTCTACGGATAAAAAAAAAAGAAATCACAGATCATGAACAGTGGTGGGTGGTCGCACTTAGTAGCAAATACAAATGACTTAGTAAAGAGACTAGTTTTTAATAATTAAAGAAGAGGAAATTAGAATGAGAGCGTGAAGGAATTGCTGACTAGATAGTAGGAACAGGTGGTTGATTAAAGAAGACAAGGAATTTGGATTATATCGAATGGTATAAAGCAGTTGGGGAATACTGATTCCCAAGGGACCAGACAAGCACATCAGCTGAAACAAGGGAGCTAAGGATGGTTCATACCCCAGTGCTTGAGAATCGGCTTGTCAAGACCCAAGTGGTCCACCTGGCAGTCATAGTAGTCCTCTGCTGAGGGCAGGAAGGGGAGATAGAAGAACTTGCGGAACAGGTGGTCGTCCCTGGGCAGGAAGACTGTCTCGGACACTCCTGTGGTGACAGGTACTCCATTTTTAAGCCAGGTGACTTTGAGCACCGGTGGGGTGAATTTGTCAACAAAACAGATGAGGACGTTGGGTTGTTCCGCTTCCACAACGTCGTGCAAAAGCACAGTCACTTCTGGAGGTACTGGGGGAGCAAGCACATGACAGAAATTAGGTTTCTATGTGGAGACTTATTTCTTCTCCTCCCTCACTGAATTGTGGTTCAATCTATGCTAAAAGACAGTTGGAATCGTGCCCTGAGGATCTACTCAATGGTCTCAGATACTTATCTCTGACACGCTCAACTTGAAACTTGCTTGTCAACCAGTATTGAAATGTAAGGTATCCAGGAACCTTATAATTAGCCCTTCCAACATGGATTCAGGGTAGTGACTTGTCTGAGGGGCTGGGAAGGATAAAGGCAAGAGAGGCACACATCAAAGAAGAAGCCAACCCCTTGGGTCTGTGGCATGGTCATTTTGGTCTTCCCTATGCTGTTTGTTTTTATTGTTGTTGCTAGTTTCCATGGTCAATTCCAACTCACGGAGACCCCATGTAGCACCATGGGGGAAAGTCAGTCCCAATTCTGGGAGACAAAGAGCTGCAGCATTTATTTAAAAGTTACAAATTCCCTCTTCTACGAGAGCAATAGAGAGAGGTACCATTGACGATGGAAGCGTTGTTGGAGCGTTTCTTCATGATGTCCAGGTTGGCTTTGTCCACAGCTATATTGGCCAAGGCACCTTGAGCCTCAAAGCTGGCAAACTGTTCAAACTCTTTAAGCCTCCAGACGGTCTCCTTCTTGCCCATATCCACGTGGAAAATCTCGTCACCATCAAAGTCAAACATAAACTCGCCTGATTGGTCAGGGCTCTGGTAGAACTCGGCCTGGATGATCACATGATCCGCTGAAAAGCCAAGAGAAGGAGTTAGGATGGGAGTCAGGAAATAGGGGCGAAGAAGAACGCAGGATATAAGAGTGCCTATGGGCAGGCGGTGGTGGAGTGGAATAGGGCACAGTGAATGGAGGAATGATGGGTGCTAGGAATGATTTTGGAAAGATGAGGTCTGAGTGAGGAATATACTGGTTAAGCAGTGCTGGAGAGGAGCTGAAAGGGGACAGTTAGAGAAGGTGGATTGAAGATGATGAGTGATAAAAAAAAGCCCAGGGTTTGGTGAAGCTGTTGTTTATGTTACTAGTTGAGAAAGAAAAAATATTTACGATATCCAGCAGACATTGTCAAGAGATCAATGTTTCCTCATTCTTTTACTGATGTTTTGAAAACATTCACAGGTCAGTGTGAAGGCCATATCTTTCATTGCACTCTAAGAAGAGGGGGAATCTGTTTTCTTTAGAAAGAGGGAAATGCTGTTTAAAAGTTTGAGTTCTGAAACATTCCTCTAGTTCTGTAATGCTTCCTCTCCTGTCTCCCCCATTATGATCCCAGTTCCATCTTACAAATCCAGCGAGACCAGAGCATGCACACTGGTACAGATAAGAGCTCTCAACATATGGAATCCAGGACAGATAACCCCTCAGGAAGTAATGGGAGTAGTGATACCATGAGTGTAGAGATAAGGTTGGGGAGAAGGTGGAACTGATCGCAATGATGCATGTATAACACCCTCCTCCCTCCAGGGGGATGAACAACAGAAGGGATACAATGGGCAGTGTAAGATATGAAAATAGTAATTTATAATTTATCAAGGGTTCACGAGGGTGAGAGGGCGGGAGGGCGGGCAGGGAGAAAAAAAAAAGCTGATGCCAAGGGCTTAAGTAGAAAGAAAATATTTTGAAAAGGATGATGGCAACATATGTACAAATGTAGTTGATACAATGGATGTGTGGATTGTTATAAGAGCTGTAAGAGCCCCCAATAAAATGATTTATTAAAAAAATAAAGCAAAAGAAAATAGATCATACCTAATACATTTTGGAGGAATATCACAAAACAACTAGTTCATGTAATACAAGTGAAAGGTAAATAAATTATTTGTAAATGAAAATAAGATCAAGTTCTGAAATATAGAATCAAGCCAAAGCTCAAATTATTGTTCAGCAAGCTTGAACTTCTTCTACCTATTTATGTGTAGTTTTCTCATTGCAATTCTGTTATAGGCTTGCTTCCCCTATAGGTTTGTTTTGGAGGTTAGATGAGAAAATAAAATGATTTACAACGTTCTCTCAGGTTTATAGCATGCACTGTTCAGTGTCTAGGGTCCCAGCTTGTTTTGTCTTTATGAAAAATATAACCGGAATCTGGAATGTTCAGAAATTTAAGACGGTTTCGTGAGGTAGATATACCAGGGAGTTGCTGTGGAGTCAGCTGGTTTGTTTTAATTTTTTTTTTTTACTGTATGCATCTTAATTACTTTGCTTCCTCATTTCTAAAAAAGAAAGTTAAGATTGACACCTTGTGGAGCACTCACTTACCCAGATCAACACAAACACAACCGCACACATACCTCTATAGGAAGGATTACACTTGGATTGACCGCAGTCATGCACTTTTGTATTTTATTGCTCTTCAGATTAGGATTATCCTTCTGAGAATAGTATATTCTAGCGGTTATACATTGGACTACAATCTGCAAAGTAAGCAGTCCCGAACCACCAGCTGCTCCTCGGGAGGCAGGCGGAGCTTTCTCCTCCCATAAAGAGTTTCACCCTGCCCTATCCGCTTGCTATGAGTCAGAATAGACTCGACGGCAGTACGTTTGGGGTTTTGTAATGTTCTATTATAGCCGATACAGAGAAAATCCATACCCAGGAAAATTAAATGGAAAATGAAGCATCAAAGGGAAATGGGAACCTAGTACTGAAGAGCATGTATGCTCTATGTTATGTACATGCGATCAGAATTGTTTTCTACTTTGTCTTCAGAGACAAGCAAGATAACTTAAAGTCTGACTATCTATTAATAAACCTGGGGAGTCAATTTACATTTGCACTTCTAAATTTGAGCACACACACACACACACACACACACACACAAATAATCTAACTTCCCTTTCCAACCTAAGAGATGAGTCCTTGCCTTTTCAGGTGAACATGTTTGGCTATGACACTGGGCAATGGACACTATAATCGTCTTCTTGGGTAGACGAAGTGTGTGACTCAGTATGTGCTACTTTGCACATGTCCAGTACACATGCCACTGTCTGCCGGGTCAGGCTGGATAAAGAACGTGTTCACAAAAGCACTAAGGTGTGCTCTGGGGATGGCCGAAAAAAGTATTACACTCCTCATTTCGAACTAATCTTTCTACTCTCTGGGAAATATAATTCTATAGCAGTGACCTCGATTCGCTGGAAAGCCCATTACCCCCATTATCGGAAGGAGTAAATTCTAAGCCATTGACATCCGTCCTCCTCTACGCCCGCGCTCCCTCGGGTAGGGAGGTTGCTGCTCCTTGAGGGCTTTCCTTCCCAGTCGTGACCTTCATTGCATACACTGTCTGTGCTCACCATCATGACAGAATTCACGTGCAAACCCCCCCAAAACAGCTACTGTAGAAACAACCCCCCCAAAGCAATTACTAGCAAGTGCATTGCAAGCAGTGTAATGGCACAAGTGTATGTGCCAGACTAGAACTGTTTCCCGTGGGGCTCCCAGGGTGAGGGCCTTTTGGAAGTAGATTGCCAGGCCCTTCTTCCAAGGTGCCTCTGAATGGTCTCAAACCACCAGCAACTTTTCAGGGAGTAGCTGAGTGCTTAACCACTTGTTCCACCAGGGGGTCTTGCCAGAAACAACTACCATATATTCAGGCACCAACTGTGAAGTCAGTCTGGATGAAGACCGTCTTCCCAATCACGCCAGTGCGAAGACCTTCTCACACATTATCTCACCTAATCCTCACAAAAACGTTTCATTTTTGTTAATTTTCCTCAAAGAGGAGTGCAAGTCCCAAGCGATAATTTGACCAGAAGTATCAGAACATATTTTTTTTCAAGTTTGACATAAATAAAATTCAGCAGTATTTTCCTATATGCCACCCAGTCTTGTTCGGAAAGACTAAATTGAATTGACTTCATGTTGTGGAGAGAGCACACCTCCAAATGGCAGTAGGTTATCCTTTTAAATTTCGGCCCACATAATACATACATCTCACACTTTGCTTTTGCTCGAAAGATAGACTTGCAAATGCCCACAGCTTCGTTCTCCAACGATCTCACAGCCTTTCATTTGGGTTCTCACAGCACCTACCTTTGATGGCCCACGATTTCGGAAGGTTCATCAGGACAGCCAGGATGAAAACTCCTAGCACCAGCGCTCCACTCTGGAGGGTCATTGTCTTCACTGGCACTGGGGTAGAAGTCAGTGGAGCTCAAGAGTGAGGCAGAAGAGTAAAGAACAAAAGAAAGGAGACTTGGGGGTATAACAGCATCAAGCACAATTAAGATTGAGCTCAGTTGAGTTGCAGCCAATCAGAAAAATCTTGTGAGATGACACATTCGTTGCCAAGGAAAGATTTGGTGTAAAAGGCCCAAGAAAGGAGTCGTGTTTAGATCATTAGATACAGA